GAGGCGTGAACAGGTGTAAAGTATGTTACTTACTAAGGCCTGAGTGATTTGGAAGAAACTGAGATTTTGCATGATGTAGGAGACGACAGCGTCAGAGGAGTGCTACATTGGTACGCTACAGAGCGTGGGGTGGTTCGAATACGTATTATGGTTTGTACCACATAGAGATTATGTATAATCTTTATTCAGCAATAGACACAAATGTCTTTGTGCCATAAATACATTGCATATACACGGATATATTTAGTGGTACAATGCATTAAATTAACATAAATATATAATAAAGTAAAACAGTGACGTTCCATACTAAATGCAGGTTTCACGACATCAGGGCGAGCATTTCTCGAGTGGTACCACTTGTATTAAACAGAGCGTGTGTGGCTTTAGGAGTGGCGTATGGGTGGTTTGAAGGAGTGGTATATTCGTATGATACAGCGTGTAGGCGGTTGGACGAGTGTTACCGTCCGTACCATACAGAGTGTGGATGGTTTGACGATTGTTACCGTTTGTACCATACAGAGTGTGGATGGTGGGACGAGTGTTACCGTCCGTACCATACAGAGTGTGGATGGTAGGACGCGTGTTACCGTTGGTACCGTACAGAGTGTGGATGGTGGGACGAGTGTTACCGTTTGTACCGTACAGAGAGTGGATGGTGGGACGAGTGTTACCGTTTGTACCGTACAGAGCGTGGATGGGGGGACGAGTGTTACCGTTTGTACCGTACAGAGAGTGGATGGTGGGACGAGTGTTACCGTTTGTACCATACATAGCGTATACGGCTGGACGAGTGTTACCGTTTGTACCATACAGAGCGTGGATGGTGGGACGAGTGTTACCGTTTGTACCGTACAGAGTGTGGATGGTTGGACGAGTGTTACCGTTGGTACCGTACAGAGTGTGGATGATAGGACGAGTGTTACCGTTTGTACCGTACAGAGTGTGGATGGTGGGACGAGTGTTACCGTTTGTACCATACATAGCGTATACGGCTGGACGAGTGTTACCGTTTGTACCATACAGAGTGTGGATGGTAGGACGCGTGTTACCGTTTGTATCATACAGAGTGTGCATGGTTGGACTAGTGTTACCATTTGTACCGTACCGCATGTCGGTGGTTTGAAGGAGTGGTACCGTTTGTACAATACAAAGTGTTAGTTGCGTGGGTGTGGGTGGTACGGAATGGTGATAGTTTATTACAATTAGAGCGTGGATGATTTGGAGGAAAGTTTGTACCATATAGAGCGTTGAGGGTGTGTAGGAGTGTTGTAGTGTGTACCATATGGAGCTTGGGTGGTTGTGTAGGAGTGTTGTAGTGTGTACCGTAAAGAGCGTTGAGGGTGTGTAGGAGTGTTGTAGTTAGTACCATATAGAGCGTTGAGGATGTGTAGGAGTGTTGTAGTTTGCAACATATAGAGCGTTGAGGGTGTGTAGGAGTGTTGTAGTTAGTACGATATAGAGCGTTGGGGGTGTGTAGGAGTGTTGTAGTTAGTACCATATAGAGCGTTGGGGGTGTGTAGGAGTGTTGTAGTTAGTACCATATAGGGCGTTGAGGGTGTGTAGGAGTGTTGTAGTTTGTACCATATAGAGCGTTGAGGGTGTGTAGGAGTGTTGTAGGTAGTACCATATAGAGCGTTGAGGGTGTGTAGGATTGTTGTAGTTAGTACCATATAGAGCGTTGAGGATGTATAGGAGTGTTGTAGTTTGCAACATATAGAGCGTTGAGGGTGTGTAGGAGGGTTGTAGTTAGTACCATATAGAGCGTTGAGGGTGTGGAGGAGTGTTGTAGTTAGTACCATATAGAGCGTTGAGGGTGTGTAGGAGTGTTGTAGTGTGTACCATATAGACCGTGGGTGGTTGTGTAGGAGTGTTATAGTTTGTACCATATAGAAGGACCACAATATAAGTGAACTTACCAGAGTGGCGTCAGCAAACACCTCACTATTACCATTGTCAAACTGATCAGTTTTCAAACGAAAACATTACCATTTCCATAATAATTAAATGCTTGCTCAACAAGTCCATAATCATTTGAACCTGGTACATATTTTAGTGATACACAGGAAATACGTTGTCAGGTGCCACATGTGGTGATAGGAGTGATTTACATTCCGGAGTATCCGATATCGCCTACGGATTTTATGTTAATGTTCTGTATGTATATATAAATATTTTGGCATTTTCGAGGCCTGTTGTTGTTTCTTACCGTGAGTAGTTTAGAAGAGTGTCGTACCTTATACCCTACAGGCTGTATTTCTGTAACAGGTTAGCTAACCTAGGTTAAACAATTTAGGTATCCGTTATTGTATGTAAATTATTATGACCAGATGTATAAACCGAGACAAGTGTTAAACTGTGATAAAGAATATACACTAAGGTGTTTGTTTGTTCCGTCTTTAACGTCGGACGCAATAGCTGAACTTATACAGAGACAGGTGGCAGGAGGAACACTACCAAAAAAGCAGCTAGGCGAGATAGAACAGAAGCTGCAGATTTGGTTCATTTCATGGTATCGGTGCAGAGGAAACAGAGAATTTTATTTTTTAAATATTTTTCTTAAGAAATTTCAAAGTAATATATAAACCTACGTCTGTAATGTATGAGCAAGTTGTTGTCAACGATGCGTATACCATATTGTAAATAATTGTATCAGAAAGACTTTGTTTTGGATGTTGCATACTTATTATGACATACTGTTGACGGAAATTAAATATTAGTTGATTGTAAATAAGGACACTTTGTTATGTAAAGCCTTACGGGTTTTCACAACATCTCATTGGCGTGATAATTACCAGAGCAGGCCTCTGTCGGTGTTAATTTTTTTCACAGTTATACCAGGAAGGTTATTCATATTACTAGATATGTACTAATATTAACAAGTATAGTGTATTGTTTTTAACGAGTACAATGTATATCATACCAACGCTGATACACCCGGTAAACAAAACAGAGTGGTGTGTTTATCACCCTAAAAACCATTTTATGCCAGTATTACAACAAGTGTTATTTCCTTAAAAATACAACCGTCTTTTGACTCCTTCCAAATTCGTTTGTAATCTTGATATCAGGCTATGTGTTATGGACAATTTAAATTTCTTACGCAATTGCGTTTATCTTTGACAGTTTAAAACAAATACATTACTTTTATGGCGAGTTTGCTGCAAGGCTTGAACTGTTTTTAGACTGTTAATGTCAAAAATATATTCTAAACTGTTAATGTATAGACTTCAGCTTGTAGATAATTACCGACGATTAAAGACTTGTCCTAACCCTCCACACTCTGACAACTACAGACGACACAAAACAACCCCCTGGCATAAGTGATAAAAGAAATAGTCTCTAGTATGTTTGTTGCAGATATGTACCTGACTGTGCCACCTAACAGACGTGAAACATATCAAAATTAATTCCTTATGCACCCGTCATTTCATTTCAAAAGGAATATTGAAATGGGAATACATAATGACATCGTTACCTTGTAGGCATAAATTAATATCACAGGCTAACTCCTTAAGTTGTCATTTTAAATATTCGAAAAATCTTAGGTGACCTTAAATGGATGAGCTATCAGATTCTGTATTATTGAAACATGTCTTATCAATGATTTCACGCATTGTTTTTGTTTGGGATGTCTTCCTATTCAATTCTCAATCTTGGCACAGGAAAACAATACTATGAATACACTATTTTCTATGTTCAATTTATGTTGTTGACGATTATCTCGATCAATTAAACAAAGCAGTAATGTTGACCAAGTACCTTGCTTCCCTTCCTAATTTGGTATTCATTTTCTTTATATGGATTATCATTAAGTTACCAATAAAGGAGACTCCTCGGCTCCTGTTGTTGTTTCTTTGTATTGACTGTTTGGTGTTTTTATCTTACTTCATCAAGACGGAAACATATCATGAATATCTAATGCGTGTCATACAAATAACAGTTGGTGTTATTGTTACGTTATTATTCTGACATACTGATCTAGTGAGTTAAATATAAACATGGAGAGATTTCTATTGAGGTTTCATGATATAGACTACGCAGAAACAACTATCAGTGCAATTCTGTTTACCATTCTCTTCTAAAGCATGTACCATTACAAATTAAACCATAGACATAAGAACTCTTGAAAATAGCATTACCAGTCATGACTCCGCCGTGGACTTGTGATGAGTTCATATTGTTCCTTAATTATGTATAATTGGTGATATTACAAAATTGCAAAAATATGTCTGATTGTAAATTGCATTAAGGAGCTGTCGGGTGATATTGATATATCAAATATCATAACTTTAACGCACAAGAATAACAGCCGCCATGTTCAATGGAAAGCAATTTAAAAGATATCAATGAAATAGGAAAATTATAAAGAAATTCAAAATATATAAATTCATGTTTACGAACTGAAGTAATACCATAACACCAGAAAGACGTCAAGAAATCCAACAAAAATAATTCGTGTTTACTGAACTACCTAACATTGATCTTTACGTTATATCATTCTATGATATGAAATAAATTTTACTTCAGTGAGATGAACTAAGTTCTATCTTGATAATTTCACATTCTTCAATACGATGCTGTATAACAGATTTTAAAAGAGTCCACTTGACTTGCCACCTTTATGTGACACAACTAATAAACCTAACAGTTGTATTGTTTATTTATGTATAATTCCCATTCTGTAGAGTTATTCAGGAATTAGTTTCGATCTGTTTAAATAATTTTCAACCTTGTATAGCAAAACGGGAGTAAACAAACCCGGATTATTGCTAGTGTAACACATGTACAACAAAACATAACAAACGGTACACAGGGTAAACAGCAATATGTTTAGTATTGTTAGGTAGCAATGTTACCGTTTTTAAGTCAGAAACTATAGCACCGATAAGTATGATATCGTTATAAAGAATATACGCAGTAAATTTAGTAATAACAAACTTATTATCTTTAAAATGATAACTTGCTTGTCTTGTAATAGAATGAAATGATGCATAGCTTACCCAAATAAAGTTGTGATAATATCCAATAATTTAGCTGACTGAATTCAGCATAACTTCCCAGTTGCTTGTATAGCAGTCCAAAGTCCTGGCACGGAGCGCACGTAAGGGGTATATAAGGAGGAGGGAACCAACGATCCCTTCACTCATGTATCACTCGGTCGCGCGCCTATATCATCACCCTGGATTCAGCAGCTGAACAGAGCTCCACGTTGCATCATCACCACCGTCGAGTCGTGAAATGGTCCTCCTGAACTCAAGTGGGCGTCCTTATATTCACGTGACTACACCTAGGTGATGTTGGCGGGAAATTCGATAGCCAACCGCCAATCGAAATAGGTCTAAGTGCAGGACCGCATATAATCCACCCGCGTTCTATTATCTAGAAATGCGTACAGTTACATGGGTGGGCCAATTGAATTAAGACCGCCATCAGTCATTCTCTTATTGACATGATTTCATACAAATACTATTTACGCATAACTATTCATGACCTCATGTTCGCGTACGTATTGTTTTGTGTTACATTTTTAAGTACGTTTCCGCTATTCTGGGAATGATCTTTTAACTTTAATAAGTCGGTGATATGACTGAGATGTATCTTGCTGTAACAATGTAGTAATGATGCTATATCTATCTCAAAACAGGATCCAACAGTATGGTTATATAGATATCAGTGATGTAACATAACGGCAAACAGTATGGTTATATAGCTATCAGTGATGTAACATAACGGCCAACAGTATGGGTATATAGGTATCAATGATGTAACATAACGGCCAACAGTATGGGTATATAGGTATCAATGATGTAACATAACGGCCAATAGTATGGTTATATAGGTATCAGTGATGTAAGATAACGGCCAACAGTATGGTTATATAGGTTTCAGTGATGTAACATAACGGCCAACAGTATGGGTATATAGGTATCAATGATGTAACATAACGGCCAATAGTATGGTTATATAGGTATCAGTGATGTAAGATAACGGCCAACAGTATGGTTATATAGGTATGAGTGATGTAACATAACGGCCAACAGTATGGGTATATAGGTATCAATGATGTAACATAACGGCCGACAGTATGGATATATATGCATCAGTGATGTAACATAACGGCCAACAGTATGGGTATATAGGTATCAATGATGTAACATAACGGCCGATAGTATGGTTATATAGGCATCAGTGATGTAACATAACGGCCAACAGTATGGTTATATAGCTATCAGTGATGTAACATAACGGCCAACAGAATGGTTATATAGGTATCAATGATGTAACATAAGGGCCAACAGTATGGTTATATAGGTATCAGTGATATAACATAACGGCAAACAGTATGGTTATATAGCTATCAGTGATGTAACATAACGGCCAACAGAATGGTTATATAGGTATCAATGATGTAACATAACGGCCAACAGTATGGGTATATAGGTATCAATGATGTAACATAACGGCCAACAGTATGGTTTTATAGATATCAGTGATGTAACATAACGGCCACCAGTATGGTTATATAGATATCAGTGATGTAACACAACGGCCAACAGTATGGTTATATAGATATCAGTGTTGTCACATAACGGCCAACAGTATGGTTATATAGATATTAGTGATGTAACATAACGGCCAACAGTATGGGTATATAGGTATCAATGATGTAACATAACGGCCGATAGTATGGTTATATAGGCATCAGTGATGTAACATAACGGCCAACAGTATGGTTTTATAGATATCAGTGATGTAACATAACGGCCACCAGTATGGTTATATAGATATCAGTGATGTAACAAAACGGCAAACAGTATGGTTATATAGGTATCAGTGATATGACATAATGGCCAACAGTATGGTTATATAGGTATCAGTGATGTGACATAATGGCCAACAGTATGGTTATATATGTATCAGTGATGTAAAATAACGGCAAACAGTATGGTTATATAGGTAACAGTGACGTAACACAACGGCAAACAGTATGGTTATATAGTTATCAGTGATGTAACATAACGGCCAACAGAATGGTTATATAGGTATCAATGATGTAACATAAGGGCCAACAGTATGGTTATATAGGTATCAGTGATGTGACATAATGGCCAACAATATGGTTATATAGGTATCAGTGATGTAACACAACGGCAAACAGTATGGTTATATAGGTATAAGTGATGTGACATAATGGCCAACAGTATGGTTATATAGGTATCAGTGATGTAACATAACGGCCAATATTAAGGTTATATAGGTATCAGTGATGTATTACTTAAAGTTCTGTATGTTAACATTTCCAAAATTACCCAGTTATAATTTTACTCACTACCATTAATACCCAGTTCTAATTTTACTCACTACCAATATAACCCAATTCTAGCATTACTTACGACCAATATTACCCAGTGATAATATTACTTACTACCAATATTACCCAGTGATAATATTACTTACTACCAATATTACCCAGTGATAATATTACTTACTACCAATATTACCCAGTTTTACTATTACTTACTACCAATATTACCCAGTTCTACTATTACTTACTACCAATATTACCCAGTTCTACTATTACTTACTACCAATATTACCTAGTTCTAATAATACTTACTACCAATATTACCTAGTTCTAATATTACTTACTACCAATCTTACCCAGTTCGAATATTTCTTACTACCAAAATTATCTACTCCTTACATAAACTTAAACTATAAATATTTATTACTGAAATTACTTGTTACTAATAATACTAAGTATTAATAATACCTAGTACTAATAATGCTTAGTACGTGTATGTTTTTTACTTCAAATACATGTAATGCTTCCTCATTATATTACCTTCCACTAAAGACAATCGTCATTAACATGATTTGTGAAAAGTCTCTTTTAACTATTCTTATTCCAACAAGTTCTCCTTACAGATAGGTACTTTGCTATTTTGGTATTCGAAATAGTATTCAAGATATAGCATTTTGTTTTCGCTCTTTCCATAGAATGAATTCGACCAGAATATTCAATATTTAGTCATCGCTCATACCATGTAGCCATTAGATAATACGATGTTATTCAACAGTATTCTATGACTTGAACGAAATCCGGACAGAAATACTGACGTCAGACGAAACTCCTACGATAGTGTACCAGGCACCATAGGTTAAAACTGAGGTGGAAAGCTGCGGGCAAATCTATATTTTTGATGGTGCTACAAGAGACGGAAGTAGGATGTCGTCAGTAGAGGGAGTCGAATAGTTACAACGGAAAGGAGCTATGTCTGGGCAAACTAATCAGAAATCCTACAAAATGGAACTCCTCATCTCCTACTTGTTATAAAGAAGCCATAGGTGATTGATGTAGGTGTCCGATAAAACTAAACAATAGACCTAGGATATGTAGACATGTATAAACAACATGCTGGGTATAATACGGTGATGTTTGCCTCGACTGACGAGGACATCTTCAGTATTACGTTACAATAAGACAGCATAGGTGATTGATGTAGGTGTCCGATAAAACTAAACAATCGACCTAGGATATGTAGACATGTATAAACAACATGTTCGGTATAATACGGTGATGTTTGCCTCGACTGACGAGGACATCTTCAGTATTACGTTACAATAAGACAGCATAGGTGATTGATGTAGGTGTCCGATAAAACTAAACAATAGACCTAGGATATGTAGACATGTATAAACAACATGCTGGGTATAATACGGTGATGTTTGCCTCGACTGACGAGGACATCTTCAGTATTACGTTACAATAAGACAGCATAGGTGATTGATGTAGGTGTCCGATAAAACTAAACAATCGACCTAGGATATGTAGACATGTATAAACAACATGTTCGGTATAATACGGTGATGTTTGCCTCGACTGACGATGACATCTTCAGTATTACGTTACAATAACACAACATAGTCAATACGCACAACAATGCATTCATTACAATAGGCATATCGACTAGGAATTAGATTGTCATCTCTACATCTGACATATGGCCTTATAGAAGGATCACCTGATGACAGAAAACCGCAAAAACACGATATTATTTGATTTTTTGTTGTAGTAAAACAAAGCCAAAACTTATTATATTTCCCTTAAAAGGCATATCGAATGCAAAACTCATCGAAGAATGCTTACAAACGATATTAGTGGTTCAATAAATCGTCATACTGGTAAAAGGTTACCTAAACACTGTTGTCTTGTCTTCTTAGATGGGCATTTATGGACTTTATACGAATTGTGAATTATCATTTTCAAAACTTAATGCCAAATCATGAAGACAATTAAATGTTAAACGATATTTGCGCGTACTGGAATGTTGTAAGACATATTTAAGCTTTAGTTCGTGAGGAAGGTTAATTGCGAAATTAAAATTTGATAAAAATGTCGTTGTTCTTTCCATGAAATAAAATCTTTTAGTCTGAATTAATTTCACGAAAATGTATTCTCGTAAAAAATAGATATTTTCCAAAATAAATGATCGTAAAAACTACGTTATAATAACTGTTAGACGGAGATGGGTCTGTTGGACACAAATCATCTGATATGTCAGTGTGGTGGTAATCTCCATAGCTGATATTGACAACGGTCACACGGTCACAACACGCGGAAAAAGATAATAAAAAGAACAACATCTAATAAGGTTACAGCTCAGCATCTATCTGAGCATGGTCTTTTGATCACGTCACGCGGAAATAAGTAATAACAGGACAACAATCAATTAAATTACAGCTTAACGCAAATTTCAGCCATGAATAGATGTTGCTTATTTAAAATGGACGCATGCTTGCTAGTGATCTGGTCACGTTGAAACCAAAACAGGAAAAGATTATTCAATAACTTATATATATATATAGTCGAACAACATACTACTGGTTAATTTTAAATTAAAAGTGTGTTGCTTTTAAACCAATTCCTCAGTCATTGAATTCCCATTATGAATAACTGTTAAAATGCGTTTATGCAGATGATTTCAAAGCGTTTATTAGCAACGTTGCTTGTATGGATTCGCAGTTAAATCAACGCTGCCTGCAGTCTGGAATCGGTATTTATACTAACACACAGACTGTTGTTTGCTTGAACTGATACTCAAAAATGATATCTATTTTTTAGACTTAATTTCTCATAACAGATTTCCATGTGTATATATACATAAATCTTACCGAGGTATGCATATAAACATATAGAGTTAAACAAATGATGGAGGTTACCAGGGTTTAGGGGCA